TATTCTTTTTTTGTGTATGTGGGACCTCTTTTAAGGACAGATTTATGCTTATAGTATTTTTCATTGGCGCTTAACAATTTGATATAAATTTTAAGTAATTTAGCATTTTCAAAAGACATGTTAAAATCACATTTTAAAGGCTACGTTTGTTGCTACCTTGTTTATTATTATTGTTATATAGGATGCGCCAGAACTCAAGCTTCAGAGAAAAAATTCAAGTAAGATAAGATACCCGGTACAATGGAAAAAATGTTTAAAAAATTTTAACTGTCAAAAAATTTTGACATTTATTTTTTGACATTTGACTTTTTTATGTCTATTTAATGATCCTACTGATAATTCTCTATATGTTTTTTTATAATTATTTAGTAAAGGTACAAAAAATTTGCCAATAAAAGCCACAAATAACATTAAACAGAAATAAAATTTAGGCTACAGCTTCCTTGTTTCCTCTTCTGATAGCTTGTAGCAAAAAAAACTTGGAAAAGTATTTTTCCAACAGAAATAAATAAAATCAAAGTGCAAAATTTTTATAGATAAGAGTTTTTTTTAACACTTTTTACATGTTCCTGTTATCTTACCTTAGATGGCATTTTTCTCTGGGACGCGACTTCTGGCGCACCCTGTATAAAATATTCAAATTTTTTAATCTTTGTTTTATTTCTAATTTTTTCCGCCTTTTTATTCTCGTTGGGTTTAATAGTAATCGTTCAATTTCAAACATTTTTACAAGCATTCAACCTTTCTCATTTCTAATCTGATCGCGTCGACAAATTCTCCTTCAAATCGCCACTGACACGTCTTCATACTTTTTTCCAATTTAAAAATTCCTTTCGATCCGTTTGAATCGCTGCAACGGGATATTTGACTGATTGTGATTATGCTCCAACTCTTAGATCTTTTATACAAAAGTGTCGACTTACACTCTTTTTTCTTATTTGTGTAATAATACTATTAATATAAAACTTGGAATTAAGTGAGGAAGAGACTCTAAACTTCTAAATAACGAAACTTGATTAAGAGCAAAACGTGTCAGGAATGTTTTACAAATATTTGCGTTTAACAAAGGAGTAATTTAGGGAGAATATAATCTGAAATTTAAGAAATTGCATTTTTTTCTTTTATTTAGCTACTTGGTAAAGACCAATTAACAATTACCAATTCAAATCAGTGCCAGCTTCGCCATTCCTGAACAATTTCGGATTATGCTGGGTAAGCCCTGAATAACAATGACAAGAATTTCAAACAAGGGATAGTTGAAGCGTCTGCGATGTCAAAATAGTTTAACTATATTAAATTTTTGTCTTTTTATGACATAAAATAAATTTTTATTCAGTGTTATTAACTTATTTGTGTGAACAAGTGGATAAATCATAGAAATGTGCTGTTCACTGTCTTGCTAAGTGAAATAAACCGATGAATTATGGAATCGTGTGGTAAACAACTGTTAAATCTTGTGCGTTATGTATAATGGATAATGATATAGGGTGTACTAGTTAAGTCACTCTCTACATCAACATAATTTTAATAAACGCCGAAATAATCCGTTTTTAGCCCTCAGCGAGGTTTATTAATTTTAAAATTATTAAATTCGCGATAATTTAGTTTCGACATGGAGCAAGTAAGTGGCGTAGGGATGAAAACTGTATTATTAAATAGAAATTGTAAAACATGGATTTGTGTTTTTAGCTTAATTAAATTGTGGAAAATAAGCAACTTGCTCGATAATAAATCCAGACATAACAGTGGCTGTTTCGTGTTAGTTATTGCTGATAATATATTTCAATTATTTGACAATGTTGTGGTATTGTATTGAAGCAACGAGATAGCTGTGAGCTTCTAAATCCGATTGGATTATCTGAGCGAAAACTCATAAGAATTGGGCCGAAAACAAAGTAGATAATAATATTAATAATAACATATTGGTTTTTCAACATTCTGATACATTTTATACAAAAATTGTAGAATTGTAGAATAGTACTTTTGTATCAAGGCACTAAAGTCTCATTTTTCATAACAAATGTTAATTTAGTTAATAATAATAAAACACATGACCTTTTTAATTTCTCGTTTCATTAAACTAGATACTAAACCAAACCACAAAACAGCAGAAACTTCTCATAGTTTTTGTGTAAGAAATTTTTTAAGAGTATATTTTTGTCAAAAAAAAACAACTTACTTAAAAAACTAAGCAAAATCGACCAATAGAAGTTTGGCTTAAAATAATTATATTAAACAACTACATCCAGAAATGCCAATAAAATATAAGTTTGTATTGTAACTTATTTTGGAACACGCTGTACATTTAAAAATATAATATCAGGTGATACATACAGGGTGTCCCACGACTTGAAAAAGTCCATTAGTGACCTTTGAATACATATTAAAAGAAAAAAAATTATACAGGACATTAATAGATACTAATCTAGTCCATCGCCTCATCGCCTAAAATTTTTTAAAACTATTCAGCGTGTCTCAAAAATTACTTACAATACAAACTTATCTTTTTTTAAATGAAACACCATATGGTTTTTAGCGTTTTTGGATGTAGATTTTTAGGACAATGTTAACTTTTATTGGTCGGTTTTGCTTAGTTTTAAAAATAAGACGGTTTTTTGACCACATGCACTTTTTAAAAATTTATTACACAAAAACTAAAATACTTTTTTACATTAAAAAAAATCATTACTATTGTTTCAGTAGCCAAAAAGTGCACAGTTGCACACGAGATGGAAATCACATTTGTGTTAAACTGAATCCATTATTTTATATTTTTACAGTAAAATAATTAGAATTTCAGTATTTATAACGACTTTTATATTCTTTAGATAAATCAACGGATAAGTGATCCGTGATGGAATTACTATGGTTGCTGTAGTATCAACAATGCTCAGGTATTGATAGGCATTATTGATACAATTAATATTGAATATCTTTTCATTTATCAATTCTATACATTAAAAGTTTTTTTTAGATAGACAATTTATCAATCTATTAGATGCAAAAATAAAAAATAGGGTGTTCCATTTAAATTTTTTTTAGTTATTTAACTTTTAACAAACTTCTTAATTTATTCATCTTTAAAAATGCAAAACACTAAAAAATTGTTCAGCTTTAAATTCTGCACTTTCTTCTTTGCAGAATTACGAAAAAATTTGTTCTAGCTGTCTTAGTTTTTGAGTAATAAATTTTTTAAAAGTGAATGTTTTTGTCAAAAAAAAACGTTTTATTCCTAAAACTAAGCGAAATCGACTAACAAAAGTTTAGTGTAAAAACATTGTTTCAAAAGTCTATATCCAAAAATGCCAAGAAACATATACGGTGTTTCATTTAAGAAAACAAAAGTTTGTATCGTAATTTATTTTTGGGACATGCTGTATGGTTGAAAATAATTTTAGGTGATCCACTAGATTAGTATCTATCAATGATGTCCTTTCCATTTTTTTAAAATTTTACCATTTAAAAAATCACTAATGGACTTTTTCAACTCACTGGGACTCGCTGTATAGTTTAGTATTTATCAATTTTCTATACAATTTTTTTTAATTTTAACAATTAATGGTCAATAATGGATTTTACCAACTTGCTGAAATATTCTGTACTATACAATATACAAGATTGTAGTATAATGAACTACCTTAGTGCTGATTTTAGACTCTTTACTGACAGTTTTATGTGATTTTAGTAACGATTTTGGAAAAATGATGTTTTTCAATTTTTTGAAGATTCCAAGCTTACTTTTACAGTTTTAAATCTTAATAAACAGTATTTTTTTATTCAGAGTGATTCAAAAGTGTCGGACCAGCTCTCAAATGGTGATAGAAGACTTTCAATAAGCATAAAAATGAATGCAGATTTTTTTTCAAGCTTTACTTTCGAGATCTTAGCTCTTTTATTTCTGATGTTTTCGGATTTAATTTATTGTTGAATTTGCTAGTTTGTTAAATGTTTTGTCACTATAAGACACAAATTGGTGATTTTTTTCAACAGATATCTGTTCAATGTTGCAAAATTTGCCGTTTCCGCCAACTGATAAATTATACATTGTATCTTAAAAACTATAAACATTTGGATAAAGCAAGTTGAGTTATTTTGACTTCTTTGAGCTCTACTATCGCCTGTTAAAATATTTGCACATACTTCAAAATCACTCTGTATATGATCTGAACGGCCAAAAACAGTATAAAATCTTATATTTGAAGAGCTATTTCTGGTGAAAAGAGGCTTAACAATTTTTTGTCATAGGAACTTTTAACTCACTTGGATGTCCTTTATCACTACCCAAGAAATTGTCCGACACTTTTGAATCACTCTGTATATTTTAATGGAGGAATTGTGTTGTGGATGATTTTTTTAATGTGATTTTAAACTAATAACTTTATATTGTTGATATTATTTTTTGAAGTAAAAAGCAACTTATTAATATTTAGTTGTTCAGTCTTTCAAAATATGGACATTTTAATCTTTTTCATTTACATTTGAATGAAAATCTAAATTTATCTCTCATTCCATCAGATGAAAAATCAGAAAGGCAGAAATAAGCATTTTACCTACATAGAAGTTGACATAAAAAACCGGAAATTGATGGAAATGTACGCACAATGAAGCATAACCGATTCAGTAAATAGAGACAATGTAACGGTCCCTTGAGAAAACTGAAACAGAGAAATGACAAAATAAGAGATTTCGACTGCTTCACTCTGAATTCAATTGAATTTAATCCCACTTAACGTCTTTAATTTTTCTAATTCTCAACAACACGCAATTAATCACTTTCGAAAGCCGTTCAAGCTTCGATTGATTAATCGCCCTTTTGATTTTTCTCCCCCAAAATCTAATTGCGGTCAGGGTCGCGTTTCTCTACTCGGATAATTATCTTTCCGCGTGCATCTGTATAAGTGCGCCCGGAGCCGTTCCACCACCACCGCCGCCGCCGCCGCCTCCGCCGCTCCGGCGCACCGGAGTCACCGTCGACGTTCTCAGTTTTGGCCGCACGATGCTGACGTTCAGCCGGGATTTTCGAACCTATCTCTAGCACAACTCTTCTCTCGTCTTTCTTCCTCCCTGTATATTTTCTTCATTCTTCGTGCGTGTGATGTGCCAAAGCCCCAACCCCCAAAACGTGCTTTATGACGTAACGCGGTTCTAAATTTTCACACACAAAAAAACGCGACAATTGTTAATATTTTTCGAGTTGTTTTGGTTAGTGTTGAATTGTTGTCGAGGGTAAGAAGGGTTATTGGGGGGACGTACCTACCAGTGGGATGAGGCAAAAAATGGTCGCTGAATCTCATCGGCGAATTTTTTTATTTGTAATCTTGATAAGATATCAGCACAGAAACAGATGTGAAATGTCTTTTATTACAAATGGAAATTTTAATGCGAGCTTCAAGCGAAGGTTTATGTCAGGTTTGCTTGTTTTGATATGAATTAAAGGGCTTTGATATGAGTTGACGCTTTTTTCAATTTGAAACGAAATGGCTATCATCATTTAGGTAAATTTGCTCATTTATCAATTTTTATCTAAAGTAATCACAAATATAGAGAATAAATCACCAAAATTAAATGTTGAGCTTCAGGCAATTTGAAATATTTAATATATGTATAGTCGAAATTTATTTATTTTATTATTTACACCACTATTTAGTGCTTGAGAGTTACAAGTCATTGACACTGCTACCAACCCTGTAGATAAAATTGCACTATAGTATGCCATTTTTTCTCTTTTTGGAAAAATAAGGGACTCAAAAATGAGTGCTAAAATGAGTCTTACAGTATTGACATTTTTTGGTCAATGACCTTATTACCAATCTTGCAACAAATAAATATAAAATTCAGGAATGTTAATTTTGTTGTAGACAATTAATTATCGCAAAGTTTGTATTACAGAAATAAATTTGTTTTTTTTTACTCTTCGATTTAAATTAAAATGAGTTGTTTTTGATTTGCACTTTTATTAGGGCATATCTGTACAAAAAGCTTTTGTTAATACAGGGTGTCCCAGCGAATTGGGTAAAGTCTATTAGTGACCTTTAAATGGTAAAATTAAAAAAAATATATATAGGACATTGATAGATACTAAGTGCATCACCTAAAATTATTTTCAATTATACAGCGTGTCCCAAAAATAAGTTACAATACAAACTTGTGTTTTCTTAAATGAAACACCATATGTTTCTTAGCATTTTTAGATGTAGATTTTTATGACAATTTTATGACTTTTATTGGTCGATTTTGCTTAATACATATTAACAATAAGAAGTTTTTGTCAAAAACATGCACTCTATTAAAAATTTATTACACAAAAACTAATAAACTTTTAAAAAACATATTTATTTTTGGATATGCTCTATGGTTGAAATTAATTTGAGGTGATGCACTTGATTAGTATCTATCAATTTCCTTATACAGGGTTCGCCAAAACTCGCGCCCTAGAGAAAAATGCCATGTAAGGTAAGATATCAGGAACATAGAAAAAATGTTAAAAAAATTTTATCTATAAAAATTTCGAAGTTATGAGAGTTTAAATTTTGCACTTTGACTCTATTTATTTCTGTTGTCAAATTGATTTTCCAAGTTTTTTTGTATATGCTATTTGAAAGGAAAACAAGGAAGCTATATTCTAAATTGTAACTCTGTTTAATGTTATTTGTGGATTTTATTGACAAAATTTTTGTACCTTTACTAAATAATTAAAAAAAAATCTGGTGTGAACATCACACGACTTTCCTTATCCTACTTATCTGGACAACATCCTTACGACAATAATTTAGTGTTGGAAATCCGAGTAGCAAACCTAATGTTTTTTTTTAGTTCGGTACCCATTATTATTTTTATTTTATCACATTTTATTGTTTAATAATGTATATTTCATGATTCTAAATAATTTTTATCCTCGTGAATTTATTGTATCTTCAACCGTATAATTTTGCGGCCGCTTTACGGCCGATTTTTGATCTGCGACAGATTTTTACCAAATGTTTCGTGCTGTGTTCCCTTTCTACAAGTAACTTACATAGCAAATTTCAAGTTTCTAGCTCTTATCTTTCTCGAAATATACATGATCATCAGTATTATTAAATAGACATAACAAAGGTAAAATATCAAATAATACGTGTCAAAATTTTTTGACCGATTTTTTTTAAACATTTTTTTTATATTGTTTGTATCTTATCTTATTTGAATTTTTTTCTAGGGCGCAAGTTGTGGCGCATTCTGTATACATCTGTATCATTTACTATTGAACTTTACTCGCTGGACACCCTGTATAAACTCGCAGCTAAAATTGCATTCAAGCCAATCATCATTATACTCGTATTATTGTTATGTAATATTTTTATACTGAAACAATCGTAATTTGTGTTTTAGTGTTTTTACTTTCTCACCGTAAAGCAGTCTAAACAGACATAAAAATGTTGTTTTTTCATAAGCTTCCCCTTCATCTTTTTTTCACAATCTTGCTTTATCCCAAAACATCCCTCGATATGTTCAGTTTCATCCCTTATCAGTGGGAAAAAAAACACCCACACCTGAGGGGATTTCACGCCGAATGAAGTCTCTCTGGTTTTGACGCTTTTATCAATACTGCATCTAATTTTTCCGTTTAATTAAAAAAACAAAAACTCGGTTGTGATAAAATTTTGTTTATTTGGTTTATCGAGCAACAGGCTGATTATTATTTTCGGTGAAAATGCATTCGTTTTATAGCCCTTGAAGGGTGTAGAATGACGCTCTTGAGAACGCTTTTTCACAGGTCTCAAAGACAGAAACTTTTTCTTGTTTGTACTCCTATTACATATGGAGTGAAAAAAAAACAAGCTTAGGGAATGTGCCAATAGTTACATCGTGATAAATCGAGCGTTTGAAGACCGAATATGAGCGCATTCCAAGGGTGAAATTAATAGGGGTTGAGGACGGTTACGGATTCTCAAACGATAATAATAGCAGTTCTGGAGTGGACGCCGATTCTGGAATTTCGTGATTGCGAACAAGTTTATTACCCACTTAAAAAAATAAAATTGAAAAATATTATTTTGCACTTACAATATTATTAAATTTTGATTTCAGTACTTTAACAAACAGTACAGTGACGTATTAAAGTAGTGTCGAGCGTTAATACATTACTTTTATAATCGACTGTACTGTGAAACATTTTTATCTGAAAAATCATTTAATTCATCGTGACTTTTTGCTCTTCACCACTTTATAAATTTTCCAAAGACCGGAGAAGCTTTTTAGCCGTCAATAAAAATTACTCTCTTATTGTCCGGAATCAGAAAGCTCTCCAAACTTTGTTATTCTGTTGAATTCAAGTAAGCTACGGTCTCTTAAACTGTTGGATCGATCGTCGTTTCGTTAATTCAGTCGTGTTAATCAACTTACTTAATCCGGGAGCATATTAAGTTCCTGGAATAATCGTCGGCGGTCCGGAGATTGTCACCGAAAACCAAAAAACCGCCCAATTAGGTGTTGGATCGGTAAATCAGCGTCGTATAATTTTGTTCCGGAGCTCCGGAATCCACAGCCGGAGTAAAAATGCGTCTCATATTGTAGATTTTGTTTAGAAGGGGGTTTTCCGATTCGCGGGAATATGATTCCGGGCCCGGATTAAGCTCGACGAAGCCGCAATCGGGAGGAATATTCGATTTAAACTCGATCCACAACTAATTTAATACTTTTTTTTTCTGCTTAATTAAAGTCGATTGTAAATATTATTGGTGTTCTTTGTAACAGCTTGTCAAAGCTTGAATCTTGCTTTTTCAGCTTGTTTTATTTCGAAAGGGTGTCGGCTTGGGACTAAGGGCAGGACACGATCGATGCGTCTGTTCCTCTAAAGGGGGTCACTTGGGATTTTGCGGGTTGTTCAGTTTCAGGTCACTGATAACGCAACATCACAATCTGAAATTATCGTTTCGTTATCACTCACTGTTTTTCATTTTTTTTCAGAGAATTATTCACCGGCGTCCAAAAAATTTTCAGGTATTCAAAGCCCCGACCGCATGCCTTCCTTTGATGTTTTCTTTGTTATTTAAATTTGACCTGTTATTTTCTCTCTTTATTTATATCACAAAGTTTCGTATTAATGTATCCTTGTCTAACAGCGAGTGTCATGATTTTAGGACAACCGCGCCGATAAAGTCGTCTTTTGTTATACATTTATTAATGTGGTAGATCAATTTGTCTTAACAGTACTAAATGAATATTAATTAACCGAAAAGTTTTTTCGTTTTTTCTCCTCCCGGATTGAACCTTGCCTATCAGTGGAGCTTAGCCCGGAGGAATCCGGGACCATCTCCGTTTGAAACGCATCATTTTAATCTCAAGGAAAAAACGCGCTATCGAAATCGAAGCTTAATGCTTTTACGAAAGGAAATGATAGAGCTTTTTCGTGGCAAACTTCGATGTTAATGCACCGAATAAGACGTAAATCAGGAAATGTACCCGCTGTCGGCCATTTCGTAAATGGAAGTCCGGCCATTGTGCCACCTGAGACGGGAATTTATACGTCGAAAAAAGTGAGACTTTAATGAAGAAATTTTTAAGCAAACGGTTTTTGCATGCATGGCGTAATGAGAGAATTATACAATGTGTATTTTGTTAAAACTTAAAAGCGACGAGACGAGAAATGAAAATTTAATAATTCGAGCAAAGTTTTGCAAATTGTTTGACTCGCAAATAAGGCCAGATAAAGCTCTAGTGGCAAAATGACGCCTTTCTCAGTTTCATGAAGACAATTGTTCCAATGTCTTTGTTTTGTTAAGTATTTAATGGATCGCTTTGTACAGAGTTGCACAAATGTCAAAAATTCTATTAAAATTTTCAAATGAAGAGTCGTTTTAGCTCTGAAATGAGTACTTTATTACCTTTATTAAAGCCTCAAATAGTAACAAATAACGACTCATTTTGGCACTCAATTGAAAAAAAACTTTACAATGTTTTACCCGAAGCCAGCTTTCAAACATCTTGTTTTATTTCCCCTCGTTTTAATACTTCTTTATTTTCGAAATTATGACGCTTTTAAACGGCCCCCTCTATCGGTGGCCATAAAACACTTTTATGGTATCGTTCCAGCCTCAAACAATGATATAGAAGCATGTTTTTTCCCTCGAAATTTAAATATACGAGACTTTGCGATTTTTCTGGGTAATTATCGATGATAATCGTTGCAAACAGGTGGAAGCAGTGTCGAGCTTTATTAAGGAAATTTCTCAGTTAATATCGAAAGAAAATCGATAAAGCATCCGAGACTTAGGGAAATGGAAACTTACATTTGTGTAGCCGTAATTGGAGTAATTTGTCTTTGGAATTTTTTTGAGCAGAAGCCTTTATTAAGATTAGCTCTAAAACTTGTGCATTTGTTGTCCAAACGAGAATTTAGTGTTTTGTGTCGACGGAATGTTGTTACATCAATTGCGACTCTCAAATGGCCAAGCTTTTCTCGTAAATGTCATCATTAAGGATTATTTTCTGACATAGATCGCCCATTCTAAAAAAAACAAATAAATAGGTGAATATGCGACATGGCAGCGCCATAGAAATTAGTGGCGTTGAGTAAAAATTGTTTACTTTAAAAGCAAGTTAATTGGTAAAATGCGGTCCCACACGTCCTTTATATCTTCGTTAGTACGTGACTGGCGTACAGATGGCAGTCTTTTAATATACGTCCCAGCAAGAGGACTCGTGCTTTTTCAACGAGTCGTCCATATCAAGATTAAGAGGAGACGTCCCACTAGACCACATCATGTTTATTTCATGATTTAAGTTCGAATTTTGTTGGATTAATGGCCACACTCTAGTAGCAATTTATCGGATTCTAGTACACAAAGTTAAGAGCATTACCGGATTTGCTCCCGACTAGCCGTACCGGACTTTCAGCGATAAACTGTAATAATTCATCCCTTGTTTAGAAAAGTCGAACTTTTAAGATGACTCTCAACTTTGTCCAAGTAGTAAACGTCGCGAGGAAGTTGTAAACAATCAAAGTTGAACAGTTTCATTCATTTCTTGGGTTTGCTTCCATTAATTTCTACTCCAAAAACGTGTGAGGTTTGAAAAATGATCCAATAGTATTGAAAACTGGCGGAAACAGCAATCTAACATCGAAATGATTGATTGTTTTCGGCATTTATCAACATTGAAATGAAAATATTTGTAAAGAGAGGAATTCTAAATGAATCTCTGTGATTCAAATTTAGCTGAAAAGAGTGAGTTTGTTAAAATGAGAAACACGTAGACCCGAAAACACACCAGAAAACTGTCTTATCTGGAACAAGATGGGTTTTGCTTGAATTTTAAATTATTTTAGGGAAGGGAATCAAAGTACAAGACTGCTGGCAGATGATAAAGAGCTTGCATTTGTGATAACAGACATTTCCGCGTGAAAAATCTGCATTACCTGAACAAACCACGACTAGATTTTTCGCGTAAATTAATAAACCTTGTCTCACTGGTCCTTCTGCTGTTTTAAGTTTCCACCAACTTCAGGTTTTTTCAGGTTTGCTCCCTCTGTGATTAAAGAACCACTCAAAAGACTGTTTAGTTGCTAAAATAAAAACCAAGTGCTTTTTTTGAATGTTAAGTGCGATTTTTCTAATACATGGAGTTCTTGGACGGCCTGCGACACAACAAGACTCTCACCAGATTCCTGTCGCAATCTCTGTAAGTAAAAATTTGTTACAGTCTTGCGTAATTAGGATTACAATGGCGGACGCGAGAGTAATCAATAAACTGCAATGGAATCGCAGATAACGCATTTATTTATTGCCGAAAGCTGAAAAATTTTGATCGAATTTTGTGCCGCTATCTGTGATGTAGTGCACGTTTGTGGAAATTAATAAAACTTGGAACAATCAACGCTTGCGACATCTCAAACACCCATTTTGCGCTTTTTTCCCGGTCAACAAGTCGTGTTTTAGTCTATTGTGTTCTTTGTCAGAGGCATCTTCCATTTCGCGGCTTTGTCCACGTAATGAGAAACTTTTCCAGAATTTTCCGAGAGCTGTATTTGCATACATACACGCTCACGAGGCTTATTGTTAAATGTTTGCACGAGATGGAATTAGGTTTAGTTAAATTTGAGATGGAATGTTCGGTTTAAAACAATCTACTGCGGATCTTAATGAGCGTACTGGGATTGTAAAGTCTTTATTTTTTCAAAATGTTATTTATTTCCTAAGATGCTTCAAAACTTATTTATTTAATTGGTTCTATTACGAAAATGTTTTTGGACCAATTTACTTTTCGCTAATGACTCGTCTCATTATTCACTGCTTTGAATTACGTTAGTCTAAATTAATTTTTTTACCGGATTTTGAGTTGAAAACCGGTAAAATATTTTTTTAGTAAAAAAATCAGTAAATACTTGTTTGTTAACATTTAAGCATAAACAAAACAGAATTTATTTAATTGTTTTCGGTAGCAAAATTGCGGGTCTCGATTTGGTGAATTTCTCTTTTCAAATTATTTGTTACATTCATACAATCAAACCAGATTTTGTAATGAATTAAGTGGATGTAGAGTATCCCCGGAAAGGCTCAAAACGAGTCCGGACCGTCCATTTAATTCACAAATTGCAAATAAATCGACAAAAATTAGCTTTAGTTGGCTTCACAAACCTTTTATGATTTTTTACTTTTTTTATTTTTAGTGTTTTGTATGATTTTTTGTCAATATCTTCTGGGTATAGACTCTTAGAAGACGTATTATTTTAGGTTGGACACTATTTAGCTATTTATTACTGTCATTTATTTAATAAAAATAGTATATTACTAGGAGTAGAAAAAAAAAACACTAAAAAAACTTTCTGCTCCGAGTGATATATACTATTTTTTTATTTGATCCTTTTATTAGTAACAACCTTAACCTCACTTTTTAGAAACATAACTTTTAGAAACTGATATCAAATCCTGTCGGATTGAGTAGACAGTAAAAATTATAGGGGGATCACGGCTTTGCCGCTCACCTACCTCTGTTTAAAACTTACATTACAAGATTTTGTCGAAATTTATAGGGGGATCGCGGCTTTGCCGCTTGCTTCCCTTTTAGACCTCAAACTATCTGATTCAAAAATGTATTGTCAAAATTATTAGTGCTGGGCATAATCCATATATTTCAATAATCGAATGAATCGAAATAAATATTTGAAATAATCGAATGACCGATTATTGTTTAGTGCGCATGCGCATCATCACCGAATATAACATTATGAATTAAAACTATCATCAAATAACTAATAACCACTAATTAAATTGGAATTTGAATATATTTGAATAAATGAAATACAAAAAAAAAAATTAATCGTCCATTGGAATAATGGCTAATAAACTTCTAATCGCTTTCTTGCGGTCAAATGTCACTTTAAAAACTTTAAACAACTGCTGATAAACCACCAACATAACAAAAAAATTCACTATAGACTTCGATTATTTCCCAGTTTTCCATTTCGTTAGCTTGTTTCGAGAAATAAATATTGAATTAGGTAATGAAATATCTCGATTAACGAATACTATGACGAATACTTTCGAGAATGTTCGGAACGAAATGAATGACTCGAATTACGATTATGAATGATTTTTAAAGTAATATTCGATTATTGGGACATAAACGAAATAATTCTATTAAATCATTTATAATCGCCCAGCACTAAAAATTATCGTAGTAGAACGCACACTATTAGATTTTGTCGAAATTTATATATTTCACACTCTAGATCTCAGAAACTATAAACATTCGGATAAGACAAGTTGAGTTATTTTCACTTCTTTTGAGCTCTACTATCGCCTGTTAAAATAAAATGCACATACCTCAAAATCACTCTGTATACGTTGTCTGTATTGATCGATGATTTTTTAATTGCTCGGAATTTTTCGTGTTTTTTAGCACTATTTGTGTGTCTAGAACATTTTTGCATACCTAGAACTTAAATGTTTAACAAATGTAAAAAATCGGAGTCAATTGGGGCTGTAGTATAGTCTGCAGATGAATTTGAAATCTGGATATCTGGATTGGATATTTTCTCAAAAACGTTAAAAAAACAAAACATTGACAAAATATTGACTGATAACCTAAAATTTTAGTAACAAAATCATAATCCTTAAGCGTTTTTACGCGTAGAACAAAATTAAGGCAAAAGTTCTCTCATGGCAGTTTCATAGAATCTTGTAAGATTTTACAACCCTAGTCCTACTTTTAATTTTCTTAAGTTTATTTTTGAGCTTAAATTTTGTGAAAAGACACTTTTCGTCCTTGGGTTGGCAACATTTTCTCTCAAAACATTTTGTTTGAGGCGTAATAAAATAGTCGTATCTATGGAAGTACTCGGAGCGATTCTGGGCCATTCAATTTCATTCAAAGTCGGGCACAAAACACAAATAAACGAAAAATAAATTCATTTTAAGTGTATTTTAACGTTTCAAATCAATTAACTGAATTAATTAAGCTTTAAAACCAATTTAGAATTTTCTTTAATAAGTCTCTCAACTCATTTTCTTGATTTTCGAAACGGAAATAAACTGCATTAGCGAGTAACCTGTTGAGGAAGCAACAAGCCTAATAAATGCATCTTCGCAAATTTATCTTATCCTCGCCTCGAGTTGGCAACGTGCCCTATCGTCGCCAATAAATGCCATTAAAACGTGCCTCTTTGACAGAACAATAGCCAGAAACTGCTGCTCTCTCGCCAAATTTGATTAATCAGACTATTTTTGCCGTCCCTCGACTTTGTAACTCGATTTGTGTTCGGACGAAAGAGTGATTGATGACGTTTTTAATCCTCTAAACGACCAATGAACAAATCGAGAGATTAAAATTATTTTGAAAAGGTCAAAGTCAGTTTTATCTCCAAGTTAATGCATAAATACTTCAAAAAGTCACGTCTCTTATTATGAAACTTGTCTCAAACTCTAAAAATAAACAACTTTCTTCTAAAATTGAATTTAATTCGGAACTCTGTTCGTTATTCATTTTACAAAGTTAGCGACCCTGCCTAAGAATAATGAAATTTCAAATTTGTTGTTCTAGAGGACGCTACTGTTGCTTTATCGATTTGTCATTCAATTGCGCACTCGTTGGACAGAGGGCGCTCTTGTCACGAATGTAACCTACAGTCGGTAAAATTGAATCGTGGCTATCGGTCACCAGATGGCGCTAGCGTGTTTCAACTCCATTTTAAATTTATTACAGATGAAGCTTTATTTAACGTTTAGGCCTATAAATTCACGTGGTTTTAGGTTTAAGTCGGTTTAAAGTGGTCTCGAGAGCGGTGACCAAATATACGAGTTTTATTAATCACGTTTAGGATCGAACCCTTTTCCAGCCCCTGCAGTAATAAATTAATGAAAATTAATTGTAATTTAACCACTTTAGATTATCTCTCCGCATAAATATAGGTATGGAAGCGGCTCGAGCTTGAATATTATGACGTTTCATGATTAATTGCCTCGAAATTTTCATATCGTTGGATTTTAAGCCGTTCAATACGCTTGTAGTATTTCTAAGGTTTAGAATTACGAAAAGCGGGTAGTAAAGGGGTTGTATAAATTGAGGAATTGCAAATATTTAACTTATTTGCGATAAAATTGAGTTGATTTAAATTTAAAGGAACGACGTGGATGTGGTTTGCACATTGCGCGTCCATAGAAATTGTCAACGTTTTAACTTTTCGTGAAAAATGGGAGAATTACATTTCTGTGAGTGATAGGTGACATTTTGCAAATTGGAGTATCCTGAATAAAAAACAATAATTTTTTCGAGTCATGCATCTGGTACACATTTTCAATCTCTTAAAATTCATTTCACGTTTAAAAACACATTCCATCTCATCCACATCTTCCTTATCCTCCTTCCCTTACTGAATAAATAATCGATTAATTTCTCCCTGGCAAAACCACGTTTCTTGACAGCTGTCGAGCTTCAAAAACGAATTAATTTATCACTTCGAAAAAACCAACACTATGAATAGATGCAAGGACGATAAACGTGACTAACCACCCCCGATGTGCAATTAAAAAAGTCTTTGAAAAACTGTGACATGGATTAAAAGAAAGAAAATGACCATCTGTGTGCACCATCAAACATTTTCATTTCGGATTCTTTGTGCTCAAACCCTTTGGAATATTTCAATTTGAATCCTCGTTAGAGTCTCTTGTGCTCTTAGGTCGTTACGCAATGCAATCACGGCTTCATTATCATAATTACGAAGAACTGGGAGTAAGATACGAAAGAGTCAATCAGCGTTTGATCCGTGTTTCACATTCGACTGACTTGCGAAATAAAGAATTCAAAATTTTCGAGTCTAAAATTCGATTTCGATATTTTACGTGAAACCTGTTTTGTTCTCTAATAGCTCTGCTTTCGGGATTGAATTGTGTTAATTGAAAGTGGGAGAAATCCGGGTTTTAACGATCAGACATTACTTTTTGTGTTTTTCTTCCTTTTCAACATTTTATGGATTTGGACATTACCGTTCATTTTCTTCCTCTGGTAAACAACAAGGGAATAAGGTTAAAACTGTAGTTCGCACATAGCAGCTCCATACAAATTATTAACGTTTATTTTAGATTTTAATGCTAAAATCGTCACAAGTCACAAATAAATATTATTTTTGTCGTTTATTTACCTTTCATGATTAAATAATCGCAAAGCGGCGACAATGCAAACAAGGGGCTCTCCTGCTATGAATAGAATTTCTAATTGTTCATTTATTAAATGCACAAACTAGGTTCCTAAATCCAGGTTAACACACTAACCTTTGTGGAACAATGGCTTTACTGAACCCTAAATCTCTCCCATTTCGGGTGATTATTACTTTCACTAACTATTTTATCACTTTAAAAAAAGTTTTTGTGTATTTTGTCCTTTGTTTCGACCGGTTCCCGGTTAGATATGGTCCTGAAAGGAGCTTTGTGTCCACATACTAGATAATGGTAGCTATCTCGTCTGTATTTTTACACGTTTTGATTTTGAAAAAATTGTCTCACTACGGCTTGAATCTCGTTTTTGTTCTAAATTTGCAACCACCTGCCACCTAATAAGACAATCGATTTTTCTCCCACTTAGAGAAAACAAACACGAAGTCATCCCTTTCAGTCTGTTAAGGATCAGATTATTCGATTTTTCCATCAAGGGAATGACGAATTGACAAGGGTCGAGTCTTTCGGGATGAGCTAACGAAGGTTTGGGTTTTTCTCCTCCTGTTTTTGTAATTTAACACTCATTTGCTTGGACAAAACGTCCATCTCCTCTATAAATATAAATAGGGCATTTTCATTCACCCAATCTGAGAGTTTCTGCTATTCAGATATTCATGAATGAACGACTGAATAGCTTGACCTTTGCTTATACACTTCTTAAGATTTCCATTTACCAGAGAAAAATCACAAAAAGGTGGCTTTAAAATTTTACGTCGGTATCGATTTTAGTGTGATACTAGACTAAAATTAGGACCAATTTGTAGTATTAATTACTCAGTAGACGCTTGGGGAATGAATAGATAATTTTCGATATAAGTAGCTTATCAAAATTGCTTTTCTTGGAAGAATCATTTTTCACATAGAGAGAAAACGGTAAACATGAATAGTTAATTTAGAGTAACTTCTGAAATTAATTTCTGAAATTACTCTAAATTAACTATCGATTTTTTTTTTCAGTTTTTCTTAGAAAGATGTGAGCTTTGAAGCTTGATTTAAGAGATAATTTTGAGATTTCCGGCCATTGGCCGGAAGTAAAGCAATCGAATTAGATGCCACCTGATTTCGTTGATTGGCCTTTCTATCACAGCTAACTAACCAGTTAGAGGCGATTTTAGTTATTTAATTCAAACGAATTGCTTACGTCATATATTGTTTTGAACGCTTGACATTCACCGGTCATTGACCTCGCTACCAACCTTTGAAAAAACACTAGGTGTTTATTTTACAAACTGCACTCAAATGACTAAAAATAAGATTCTTGAATTACAAATGAGTGTTCAGATGACCATTTGTATTGTGTTAGCTCCAACGTTCTCAACCCCTGTAAAAATTAATTAACCATCTCTCTCGCGCAAAATAGCAATTGTTTTTGGAGAAGGGACCATGGAGCAATTTTGTTAGACACTATAGTAAAAAATATCAAACTTTAAACAATAAACAATGATGAAAAATGAAAATTCAATCCAACCTTTACTTACTGCAACGACGGGTAATTTTCATCAATTACATAATATTATTTGGGCCAAAATCCATAAAAATGAAAATTAACAAATAATTATCTAAGAGTGCGTTGAATTTCAATCAATCGATGTGACACTTCTGACAGTTGTTGACAGTTCGCGTCAATGTATTTCACACTCTTCAAGAAAGTCAAACGAAAACAATAGAAAAACGAAAGGAAACGTTACTGGTGATTTGAAAAAGGCAAAAAAGTGACGTAATTAGTATTTTTGCAAAGTTTGGTTTTGGTTGGTATGATTTGACATTTGACGGCACAACGTTGTGAAAATTAAGGTTATTCTGACATTGTGAGATGCATGAAACGTAACCCAAAAACGATGTAAAACCCAGGTAATTTGCACACTGGTGGACTTGAAATAGTTAGGTAGTGATTTGTATAGTGTTGTTTAAGACTATAAGAGCCCAATATAAAAGAAATTTGGCCAAGGAATGTGTAATTTAATTAATTTTTTTAATTTGAGGTTATGACATGAATTTTTTATTTCTATCGACGTAACAAAAACTAGATGCACCCACTGAACTAACAAAAAATAGATTTCCAGTTTATTAGCAGAAAAATTGTGACAATTCAATAATTATACAGGGTGCCGGAGAACTCGCACCCCAGACAAAAATTTCAAGTAAGATAAGATACCAAGAACATAAAAAAAATGTTTAAAAAATTCTATCTGTCAAAAAATTTTGACATTTGACGTTTTTTATTTAATGATACTGATGATCTTGTATATGTTTTTTTACGATTATTTAATAAAAGTACAAAAATTTTGCTATTAAATGCCACAGATAAGATTATACAGAGTTACAATTTAGGATACAGCTTCCTTGTTTCCTCTTCTAATACCCTGTATCAAAAAACTTGGAAAATTATTTTTCCAACAGAAATAAATACAGTTTGTGCAAAATTTAAACTCTCATAACTTCGAAATTTTCATAGATAAAACTTTTTTAACATTTTTTCGATGTTCCTGGTATCTTACCTTATATGGCATTTTTCTCTGGGGCGCGAGTTCTGGCGCATCCTGTATAAAATATTTGCAAATCAGATAGTATGGGGTTTATAAGGAAATGAAATAAATATAAACATCTAATTAAATAAATATAAGTTTTGACAAAATCTGATATTGTGAAGTGAAGCCCTCAACAATTTCGAAATTTTTCGAATCAGATACTATGAGATAGATCTACACAAGGGACGAGCGGCTGTTCCAACGACTACTTTTACAAAACATTTGCGAATCCGAAAGGATTTGATCGATTTAACTAGTTTTAGTACTAAAAAAAATACGAGTACATGTTTTAAGACTGCTTTTCTCATAGTTTCAATCTCTTTAAGTTTCTGTTTGAAAGAATGTGAGCTGTGAAGCTTATTTTAAGATAATTTTAAGACTTCCGACCGGAAGTAAATCACTTAAAAGCAAAAACCACTGAATTTTATTGATTGTTTTTTTCCAAAATACCTAACTAACCAGTTAGAAGCGATTTTCTGCTTTTTTAGTTTAATCGTTTATTGTTTTCAACGCTTGACGTTCACCGGTCATTGACCTCGCTACCAACCTTTGAAAATATCACACTATTTTATTGTGTTTTTGGTGTATTTTCGAATTTTGTCCATGATTTAAACGCGTGTTTAATTATCAGAAATATAATATTTGTTTCAAATTACAATGGACTTATTTTAACACTGAGATGGGTGTTTTAATAGCCTCATTAGAGACTGTTTTCGTATAAATGTTTAGTAAATCTTGACATGTTTTGATCAGGGTTGAGCAAGAATTTTTTATGTGAAAAGTTTGATAATAATGCACTTGACGTCTTGTTATTGACTCGAGTTTTAAAAGGCGAGGGTCGTAAATAACTCTAAAGTTGTTTACTACAAAAAAATCGTATTAATTTCGAAAAAAACTCAAATTCTGGGTCACTTCAGGTCAAAATTTCTGCTCGGTTCATTTATGGGCCACCCCGGCCGACCTGTTGCTTCTCTCCTAATTACCCCCTCCCTTAAAAAACTGGGTGCAGTAACCTATTTTAAGTTTATCGATCTCTTGCCCCACTAATTGCATCTCAACACTAATCAATAAATACCTCAAGTCTTTTCGACTACCGCCCGTATCATACATATCATCACCCCATTTGGTGTCCCTCCTTTTACCCCGACCCCCCAATTCAGCAAAAAATTAATCTTCTTCTCTTTAGAGGGTCGTAAACGAGGTCTTAATTGCGTCTTGGCCCATTTTCACCACGACGTGTGTCCCATCCTATAGTAAAAATTCCTCGTGTGAGACGGCGGCGTCGCGGCGTCCTCTCTATCCCGTGAAGACGTGCGTCGCAACGCTAGCCGCCGCATCAGTTGTTCATCCGGGATTTTCGGGGAATGTGCAGGTTTGCGCGCCAGTGTGGTTGGTACGCCTGCTATACAAAATGTATTATTTCATGACCGGTGTGGTGCAGAACTGCGAACAGATACTAAGGTAATTCCAAAAAAATATTTTTTTATTTCAAAATTTTTTGCAACCTCAATCAACTCCAAACTTTGATTCTTCACAGTATTTTGAGACTAGGTGCATTAAATTTAAACTTGACCTGACCTGACCCAAGCTAAATATAGTCGCAAATGCCTTGATACATGCAGCATTTTTATATAGATTTGACCTTCTCTGATTTTATTTAACCTTAACTCAAGCATTTTGTAACAGACATTAGATATTTAAATTGAAACTTGACTTTCTTTGACGTGACTCAACTGTTCCGAATTTTTGTAATATTTTGCGCAAAATTTCTGATTTCTAATTTTCACAGCATTTTGTAATAGATATTAAGTGAGACTTAGACCTGACCTGACTTGATGCTTTAATTTTTATTTTTACGATTTGCGCAATATTTTGAAATACAGGGTGCGCCAGAACTCGCGCCCCAGAAAAATGCCATATAAGGTAAGATACCAGGAACATGAAAAAAATGTAAAAAAAATTTTATCTATAAAAATTTCGAAGTTATGAGAATTTAAATTTTGTACTTTGATTCTATTTATTTTTGTTGAAAAAATATTTTTTTAAGTTTTTTTGCTACAGGCTATTAGAAGAGGAAACAAGGAAGCTGTATTCTAAATTGTAACTTTGTTCAATGTTATTTGTAGCTTTTATTGGAAAATTTTTTGTACCTTTACTAAACAAACATATACAAGATCATTAGTATCATGAAATAAACATTAAAAATGTCAAATGTCAAAAAATAAATGTCAAAATTTTTTTACAGATAGAATTTTTTAAACATTTTTTCCATGTTCGTGATATCTTATCTTATTTGAAATTTTTCTCTCGCACGATAGTTCTGACACACCCTGTATTATTTTGAACGAATTTTTTAATTGCCATAGCAAGTCAATGGGCTTAGATTACTTTTAACATGTAATTACTTTTTTATGTTAATTTTGTTACGAAATAAATTTAATGAAAATAATAACTGACCTAATTTTTCAGTTCAGTTTTAAAGCACTTTGGAAGAGATATACTATAATTCACATAGAAAACAGATACCCAGTATTTATGAATATATCGCAATAATTTTTTATATACATACTTACTAGGGTGAGATAAATAAATGATCAAAATTTGAAAAGAATCGTATAATTTGAACCCGAAAAAAATTAATTTTGGGTTGAGCCTTCTTGTCGCGTTATGCACTTAACAAATCTGGGCTTAATCCGAATAAGGTGATCGACCTCCTCCTATATAACATTTTGCTTTATGTTACTCATACCACGTGACAAAGTACTGATAAAGTCTATGGGCGGTGGGGTAAATTTTGTCACTATTGAAATAATTTTGATCATAGGAGAAATTATATGTATACACAGGAGGTAAATGTTTTTTCCTCCTTTGTAATGCAAATAACTATTCCTACTGTGAAATTGCCTCTCTGATGCTGCTGTCACCTATTTCCTTCTTATAAAAAAAGGACTATAGTAAGGTTTCAAAAGCTATTAAATTTATTATTGTATTATGAATTTTTTTTTTTTTTGTATTAGACACAACTTTACATCTAAGTTAAATCAAATTTAAAAAATTGACAATTTTTTTAAATAGATAATTATTTCTCTTTTGTAATAAAAATTTTCATTTTTAAAAAGATCTAAACCAGCAATTTTTTTATCCACAAGCGTCAGAAAAGTGACCACTTTTATATTAAATGTCACAAGTTTTATCTTTCAACCATGGAGTAAAAATTCTATTTTTGCGCCTAAGTGTTTTTATTTTGACCATGACATTTACCAATGTTGTCACTTCCTTGTTTCTTTCGTTGTTTCAAAAATTTCTAGAGAGCTAAAAGCGTTTGACATTTTCCACTACTAACGCCACTAGTTAAATTAATTAACACTTTCAAAAATCTCGACACAAATTCTGATACTGATGCGTGATGTTTGTTTATAAAAGTTATTATGATTTCATTACTTGCAAAGCGTCCATAATTATTACGTACATTTACTTGCTAATAATTATAGTGTTGCTCTCTACTCTCGATGCGAATAAGTTTTGCGGATAAAATAGTATATGTTATTAATTTATATGGTTCAGCTGAATTATTTGCCTCACTACGTGTGACATAAACTACCACTTTTACTCCTAATAACGTAATATCGACTCCCCCACGAAGCTATAGTAACTCATAAAAATTGGTTTTTGAGTGACGATGGCTCATGTAAGGCTCAAAATACAAACACAACAAGAAAAATTTTCTTTGAATATTTACCAAAATTATTTACCAAAATTTAGACCCTCAACAATTTCAAAAATGTTAAACAGTTCCTTGATTTTTTAACAACAATCAAAGATTCAATGCAATTTTTCTCAAAACTGTAATTTTTGAGTTACTACAATTTTCGTTGGGAGAGTTGATATGTATACTTTAATTTTTCTTAACTTTGACACTGCAACATAAAACGGATATTACAGACGGGCCAACAAATATTTTCTTCTTAATCGTTTTTCTTGTAAAAATTGAGAAAGTAGCGACTCAATTATAATCCCCTTGGGTATTCTACTAGATAAGACGTTTCGAACTTTTGAAACAAAGTTGAAAACATACTATCCAGTATTGAACCATGTTAAGGCCTTCTGAAACAAATAAAAACTTGGGGGAAATGCTCAGAAAAGTTTCTTTTCTGCATTCCCTTGTATTGAAATATTTTTTGTAGACAGAATAGCATCATATAAAGAGCTTTGTTTGTGTTTAGAGTGGTTTCAGCCTTTTGTACTTTAATACAGCGACGTTTCTTTTTTTACATTTGACAAAATAATTATATAAAAAGCAACCTGCTATTTTCCTAATGATGATTTTTGTTCAACTATCTTTAAATTAGAAATATCGAAATCTGAAACGCTACTTGTAGCCAACAGTTATTTGAACACGATAAAGGACGCTTTGTGATTACCATTGTTGAAACGTGATTCTCTAATTCACTTTTTTACTCCCGGATCATCTCTTTATGTCTCCGTTGTAACAAACACAATTGCGATTTCACACATTTGCTGTAACACTCTATAAGGTCAGGTATCAGTGGGCAATAATTCATAGCAACCCTTCGAAATATCGATTTGGGGGAAGGGCTGAACTTTGGGATTGTCCTCTGAAAATTTTGGGCGGAAAAACCACGACGTGGGTATCGATTTGACTCCGTATTTGAGATTTATTTTTAGTGCATTTTATTTCTAAAATGGAAATTTTTCCTCTAATCATCTGTCGCCTTTTATTGCATCTGGAAACGAGCAACTTTATCGGTTTCGGGGGTTTTTATTTTACATGAGAGATGATTAATCGCTCGTAAATTGGATCAACAGGATGAAGGTCGAAAAATAACAAAGTCTTGTGTAGATTGCGAATTAAAATAAATTGAAAATGACGAGGAAATATGTGTTGCGATTTTCGCCGGAAATTTGATTTGACGCCCGATTTCTGATACGATTTTTGCAAAAAAAATCGGATGAATATGTTTGCAATTGAAGTTTTGAACTTTTAGAAACAATTTTCATCAAACTTGCCTCATTTTGAAAGCTTAAGTTTTCGTACTAACCTATGTTTTTTAATATTGTATACTCAAAGTTCATTTTGCAATTTTCTCTAAAGCTCTTCAAACATTGACTTGCGAAACTTGTAAATATCAACGTCGACTTGCCTTTTAAACGAGACGATACTTAATTTAACTAAATTATTTTTAAAGTGGCTGAAATTTCAAAACTACAAAAAATTGGCTTTGAAATTTTAAATAGAAAGTACCCATTTTTATTGCAGATTTCAATTTGCCTTCTCAAACTGAGAAAAACGCACCCAGTTTTTGGTACTTATATGCCATAGTTTCTGACATTTGTCATTTTTTTTTGTCGAAATTTTTATTTGAAGAGGTCTATTCAAAAAAATCACAGTTTTTGGACCCTTTGCAATAAGTAAATATTTTGTTTTTGTTTTGGATAACTGAATATTTGAAGAATCTTCTAAAGTAACTCAAGATTGTTAACATTCAAATTTCAAGGCTAATAAGATTTTTTCAAAATGGTTATCATAAGACAGCTATAACTCAGTTTTTTTTCAAATAGCATAACCCTATTTTTCCAACAGCAATCGAAAGAATATCAATTTTTATGAAGACTTTTATTAACATGTTCTATCGCTTGCAATTTTTGAAATAGTCACGTAAAACCGATTTTATCGGTTTATTTTCATCGTTAATCAAGGAGGCTTTGGAAAATGGTCAATGGTCTGATTCGCAAAAATTCGTTATGCGACAATATTTCATATTAAAGGCAAGACTGGTCCTTTGTATTATTTTGTCCTTTTGGCCGAAAGTTACAAATAAGTCTAATACAACTTGGTTGGTAGTAAACCATAATTATTATTGTTCTACTGTTTATTTGATAATTTATGAGTTAAAAACTAATTAAAAGGTCAAAATGTGACCTTTACGTGATTAACAATAAAAATAAAGAGTTAAAGCCCGTTTTTCGTGTTTCTTTCAATACTTGCAAGATAAGTGTAGGACATGCTGATAAAAGTTTGCTTAAAAATTGATCTTCTTTCGATTGCTGTTGAGAAAATAGGGTGATACTATTTGAAAAAACGAAATTATAGCTGTTTTTTGATAATCATTTTTAAAAAATCATATTAGCTTTGAAATTTGAGCTACTTCAAAAGATTTTTCAAACCTTCAGTTATCAAATGCAAAAAACTTTTCACTTATTGCAAAGGGCTCAAGAGCTGTGATTTTTTGAATGGATCTTTGCAAATAAAAATTTCGACAAAAAATTAACATACAGAATGAATAGTAAAGTATGCTACCAAGCGTTTTTTTTTTCAGAAAATAATAATAATACAAATTAAATTAATATAAAAAWTGTGATTGTATTTTGAGAACGTAATTTTGTTTTGTTTTTGAGTTATACGATTTTTTGTTATCAAAATTGTAATTTATGTATTTTTT